CGAAGGAGATGGTGTTTACCGCCAGGAAGTCGGAGGACTTGCCCTTCCGAGGGAAGAGCGAAGCGGAAAACCCTAACGTCGTGGGAAATTGACGTTTTCTTGACGAGCTTGCATGGGATTTTCTCCCTTGGCACAAGAGCTACGGGTCGGGAAACGGGAGGAGTGATTTCCTTGATGGGAGCCAAGTGGGAGAGGGCATTGGAAGAGCCGTGGACGGAGTTGTTGGGGGAGGAGCTGTCGGAGGCGTAGCCGGTGGTGAGAAGCTCACCGATGCGGTAATCTTCGAGGAGATTCTTGGCCTTGTCGGAGTGGATGGCATCGAATTCTTCGGTGCAGTCGGTGCCGGCGTTGATGAGGATGCTGTCAGCGCCGCCGGGATGGTCCTTGATAAAGCGGGTGCAGTCGTAGATGTGGCCGTGGACGATGATCCAGGCGGAGTTGGGGGAGTTGTGTTTTTTGACCTCGGACATGGAGTAGGTCTTGGCGGCGGTGTTCATGAAAGGGGAGGAGCCGCTCTTCTTGAGAGTCGGGTTTGATTTTGCCTCCGTCGACTCGAGGTGGCGCTCCTTCGCCATCCACCCGCCCGACTGGTTGCCCGGTTGAGTTGGGTGCTCGAAGATGATCCCGATCTCCCCCTTGTGGGGCTTGCACACGTTTGTCTTCACCCGAAACCAGCAGTTGTTCATCATTCCCTGCATGTAAAAAATTGCACCTTATAATTAAAAATTGGTTTTTGTTCAAATCTTAGTGGGTAACCTCTAACCAATCACATTTTAAATATTTTTTAAATTAATTTTTACGTGCTTTTCCGTATGAGATCATTAAATGATGTTGCATAATGCAATTTAATAGATGCAAAAAATTGAACAAATAATCTAAATTTGAAAAGTAAAAAATATTGATATTAGCTGTTTCCTCTCTATGTTTTTTTTTTTTTTTTTTAAATTCAACTATAACTAATTAGCACAATGGAGTTATCATTAATATCAGCTTGTGATCAACCAAATTATTATCCGTGTGTAGTTTTTTTCTTTTTTCTTTTTTTGTCTCCGCATTAGTATTTATATGAGAAGGTAAACATTGAACCATCCATCATTAGACTACGTATTGTGAGGAGCATTATGTATGTTATCTAGGTACGTACGTAATTGAAGCAAAATGTTGAACTTGCAATTATTTTAATGTAAAAAGAAAGGTCATCAGGGCCGATATTCAATTATGATGTACGGCACTAGTGATGTAGGGCATACGACTAATTAAGCCAATTAGTCTATTTAAATGTGCCCTGCGAGTCTATCAGAGGCAACGACAAATTGTAATAGTAAGTGGTGGGTTTTTAGTTAGGCACAAAAGTATACCAAGATGGGGCCCTTCTACAAGGCTGGCATCCAGTATAGTTCGAAGCTAGGGACGATTTGGTGCTAAATAATATATATCATATACTTATGTGCCGCAGTTTTACTGGCTTAAATAGCAAGCAACTTGCCATGACTTTTATATATATGTGATAGAATTACCGATAGAATTACTGTCACGTTTAGTATGTTGCACGGGAGAGAACCTGTACCATATGAAGCTATATATCTATACATATATATGCGTGCATGTATATACATACATATATATATGTATATGAGGAAAAATACAAAGAATGACGTACCATAACATTCCAAATGAGCTTCTCGGGCTGGGTGTTAATGGTCTCGTCCCAAGCCCTGACGGCAATCTCTTTGGCAACAAGAAGGTTGAGAACTTCAACCTCCAACGACCAGAAACACCAACACCAGTATTTGCCATACTTGTTGGGCTTCTCAGGGTGGTCCAAGGTGCACACGTGCCACGTCTCACCACCGTCCATCGTCACCTCCACACGTGCCACTTTCTTCCCTCCTCCTAAAGCGCGTGAAACAAAAAAGATCATTAATCCATGCTCAAGTCATCACTAGATCATTGTTATATTTTGCAATTTTCAGACACTAAGGAGACGTTTAGTTCATAAATTAAAATTATGTGATTAAAATTATTTTTAATTTACATATATTTTTTATGAGAAAAAATACCGTAATAAATTATGAACCATGATTCAAATCGTGATTTGAATTCTCTAACCAAATATTTCCTAAAAAAAATACAAGTTTTAGATCTATGACGTAGCAGCTAATTATGTACTTTGGTTTTTTCTACTTGCAATGAGGTATTTCTGTAATTCTGACACATATGGACGTTTTAGCTATCACTTTTGGTACCATGTTTGATCTAAATTATGTTATAATATTAATTTAGTTTCACTTCAAAACAGAAAAGGTCCAAGAACAAAAGAAAAGCTGGGAACAGATCCACACGCGTCACTTAAACCATCTTTCTAATATTAATAACAATAACAACAATATAGAAAAGATCCGCGGAGGTAATTCCAAAATTAGGACTTCATGAAAAAAGACATATGTGGTCACAGAAAAAGCTGGGAAACCAACTTGGTTCTACTCCCGCTGAACTTGCACAGACCTACTTGATACTAGTTGTTACCACCATTTGATGCTTTTAAGGTCGGCATGCAAGAGACAAAACCCCATAAACTAGATTTAGCCAAAAAAAAAAAAAAAATGATCCAATTAATAAGTTACGTAGAAGAGCATCTAACCTAGAAAAAAAAAGAAAAAAGAAAAACTCAGAAGTCAGAAGAACCGAACGCGTTTTGTTTGGCTTAGAATAAATAATTAGCCAGTTGAATTGTTTGAAAAAACGAATACACACACATATATAAGTCACGGACGTGATTTGTGAAGGCATCTAAGATCGAGAAATAGCAGAGGAAATTGCATTTACATACCAGAATATGCGTAACCCTTTAACGTGTACGGCATCTGAGTTGTCCACGAGTTAATCGGCAAGATCTCTTGGTGACACGGCGTCGTTATCACTGAGTTTATGTTCAGCTCGTTTATTATATACTCCGGTTTGTACCACCAAGCTGCACACATGTATACATGCAGGACAAAAATTATTCTCTCACTTCTTTCAAATCAACAATTCATACAACCAATAAGCACTCATTGCTTCCCAATTCCCAACACATGAATTGATAAATTAATCCCAGATAGTTTCAAGAAAAAAAAAAAAATCTAGAGATGACAGTATTAATATTACAATAATAGATCTTTATATTACTTAAATAATTTTGCTATTCATTGTTTTGACCCCTTAATTTAATATTCATGAACATGCTTTACTACATAAAGAAATTTATTACTTTTTAGTAATTAAAAATAAATTTGTTAGAGAAATGATTGTCAGTAGAAAAAATTAAATTAAAAATTTTTAAAAAATACTATTATAAAAATTGAGTTATAATTCGAACAAGTAAAAGGCACCGCCTAAAAAGTTCAAACTTACATTCCGCATTGGCGAGTTCAGCGTCAACGTGGGAAGGAAGAACCCTATTGTCCTTGTAATGGTAATAGCTATCGGACTCCTGAGTCGTCACAACAATCCTTTTGAGCCACTTGACCATCCGGCCGCCGATAAATCCCGGTATGATCATCCTCACCGGAAACCCGTGGTCCGGCTTCAACCTTTCCCTGTTCTGCATGTACGCCAAGATAATATCTCTAGCCGGATCCATGGCAATCTCTTTTCTCACACTCGTTCCGTACTTGGACCCACCGCCACCTGGCAAGTCCTCGGCCCCTTCAAAGCACACATTGAGGGCCCCCTTCTCACGTGGCAGAATCCCGCATCGTTTGAGCAAGGCTCGCAACGGTACGCCCGTCCACACTGAAGTGGACACCGCCGCGGCTCCCCAGTTGAACCCTATGGATTGCTTCACCAGATTCTGCTCCTTTCTTCTGTTGCCAGCGCAGACCAGGGTCACGGGGAACTCACGTGACGGGAAGTCGTTGACCAGCTGGTCCATGGTGAACTTGGCCGGCCGTTTGACCAGACCGGTGACCTCAACGGTCCAGTCGTCCCACGAGGCCCTAGGGACGGCCCCGTGGTTCCGCACGTAGTGGAGCGGGACCGGGGTGATGAATCCGTGGCTCATGAGTCGGGTCAATGGTGGCTCCGAGTTGAAGGGGTGCTTCCCTGTGAGACGGACCATGGTGGAGTTGCGCTCGATCCAGCTGTCGGATGTGCCGTCGTCGCGTGGGTCCAGGATCGACCGCTCCAGTTCGTTCTTGCCACGGCGGATCATATCGCGGTATTCGTTCATCTTCTCGTCGTCCTCATCGTCGCTGGACGAATCGTCCAATGCCACGTGTTTCTTGGGGATCGTGATGTCCGGGTTCCGCGAAAAGTTATAACCGCGGACCGGGGAGTCCGGTCGGCTGGGTTTGAAAGACCGGACGACGCCGTTTAGGGGAGGCTGATGCTGATCCAGTCGGGGAAACTGCCTATTTTCCACCGAAGTCGCCATGAGAGAGTCTTGAGCAAAGAAAAGAAAAAATGTTTTTTTTTTTTTTCTCTCTCTCTCAAATAGAGAAGAAAAGAGGAAGATAAATTGTTAGACCAATATTTACTTTTTTTTTTGGGTATCTATTTTTTTTTTTTTTTGGGGGGAGAGGAATCCCTTGGTTTCAGTGGAGAAAAGTGAGAAGGAGCAGGAGGGACTTATATAGGGCTCAGGAGGGGGATATGGGACCCACTGGATTTGGAGTTGATTTTTTTTTGTGTATTTATTTATTAGTAAATGGCAAAAAAATATAAATAATAAATAATAAATAAATAAGAAAAAAATGGCAGTTTGGTTGGGGGGGTCGGCTATATTAATGGAGCCGTGGCTTGCCAGTCCAGAAGAAAACTGGCTACTGGCTAGTAAGAGCCACACATATATACGTCCATATAAAATACATTTCCACCACGTATATTCATTTTCTTTTTCCTTAAGAAAATAAAGAAGTAATGACAAAAGTTTTGAATGTTATTTTTTTTTCTAACTCTTATAATTCTCAACTCATATCTTAAAACCGAATGTATTTAGTAAATGAGTTGTTATTTTTAGTTATTATGTTGTATCTAATAATATATTTATAGAATCGTATTTTTTCATTAAAAATGACAGCATACTTGCAATATTTGGGTCCGGTGACCGTTAAATTCTCTAACTAGGAATTCTGTATACATTTGATCTCATTTAAGAGAAAATAGAAACAAATCTCATTTGCTCTTAAGATTATTTCCATGGTTCGTATGTGTGTGAGAAGATGTTATTCGATTGCACGTGTAATGGTTTTCTTTTGGATTGGATTCCAGCAAACAAAAAAAATAATAATAATAATAAAAAGGAAAATAAAAGATTATGGATCACGCAACATTAAATTAAACTAACAATTCAAATGTAAAATAATTAATCGAAAGTAAGGGGTGATCAGTGCATGAATATGCATGCCTTGTGCGGTGGTCAAGTCTAGAGTAGTGTCCCATAGTTTTTGTTTGTTTGTTTTTTGGATTTTTTCTTGTAGACCTCATAACCAATAATGTTAGTTTTTAACTGTTAGACGGGTTAAAATCACATTAAATTAAAAAGTTATACAAAATATACAGTTTATAATACAGATTTAACAACTAAAAAATATAGAATTACCAATAGATCATTTTTTCTAGTGCTACTAGAAAAACTCTTTAAAAAAAAAACAACAAAAAACAAAACAAAACAACCAAAGTAGTAATATGACGGGCTTAGCAAAAGCAGAATTTAGATTGAACCTTCCCAAGTAAGCTTTTAAAACAAAATTTATTTTTGTTAGTGGAATTAGCTAGATTGAAGCTTCCCGGCGGCCGGGTGGGCAGTTTCAATGATTATTGTGCTTTTAATTGCAAAGCCAAAATTGAAACTTCCCACCAAGTACTTTGTATTTCATGTGAAATCTTGTCAAAGTTTTTGGTAGTTTCCTAATACTAAAAATAAATATTTATAATTCCTACATTGAATTCATTTGAACTTGGTAGCATATATAATTCGTCTTATTTCATGACATTTTGGGGCCAAGTATTCCAAAATTTTAAGGGAAATTAAACCATTTTGGTTAATTTAGATATTATTTTCAATGATTATTACAATATTAAACATGGAGATCAAGGAGAGATGTGGATTTAAAGATGATAAAGTTGATCATCAAAAGTCCGGAGAGCTTTTTGACTATAGACATCTAAAAACGTGCCATTTTGGCTAAAAGCCGGTCCAGAAAAAACCTTCTACCAAAATCAAATTATGGCCTCCTTGTTTCGTCCCTTCTTGTTTTTTGTGTAATGGATTCTCATTCTAGTCATTCAGTCATGTATCTGACCGATACGTCACTTTTAACCGGTTCAAAGAAAAGGTTTTCAAATTTAGATTAGTGTACAAAATAAATGGTATGAGACCTCAAATACTAGAAAAAAAAATTGAGTAAATTAGCAGTATACGTAAGAAGAGTAATGCAAAATATAGGTGAGTTAGACATACGACACAATCTAATTACTATCATGCTAAAATAAAGCAAAAATTTTTAAAATACGTACTTTACAATAGTAAAAATTAAAATAATCTTAAGAATTACTATTTAATTTTATATCATGAAACATGGAAATGTTATAATAATTACTACATCATTGTGTTATTTCTAAAATATTTTTTAAAAAATGTTATATTTTATTTCTGCTTGTATAAATATACCATGTAGTGCAGTTTTTACATAAATAAATAAAGTGTCAATAAGTTCCGATTAAAAAAGATAAAGTTCTTCAATATCTCCTATATATGAACAATGATTTGTTGATAGCATGTATCATTTTGTATGTGATAAAGTTCTTGCTCAGCAAAAGAAAAAGAAACTTTGTATTTATGCGAACATAACATATAAGACAATTAAAAATTATAACAAAAGTAATATTTACTTTCACTCGTTGAAGAGACGCTGGTAAAATAACCTCTAAATCACCATTTCAATTACTCAATAGACTACATCTGGTTAACCTAACATATTCTTAAATCTTGTGGAAACATACCTATATTCTGAAAATATTGTTTTGAGTTTTCACTCATCAATATTAGACAAAATTCTTCAGTGTAAAATGAAGATGTATTTACCCATAATTTATTGACCTCCAAGTTTGAGTTGGGAATTAGTGTTCATGAATCTCAAAGTGAGTCTTTGATTTGCCGATCGATTTCGAATTAAGCTATATACATCTCAAGGTACGTCCATTTAATCAATCACTTGCCAATTCTCTTTTCCTATATATCATATACGGTTTCGTTGTGTATAAAAAGCATTTTAAACAAAAGCATTAACCATTTTGTAGAAACTAGTTTTTTTATTTTATTTTATTTTATGGGATTAAGTTCAAAAGTATTTAGTAGGATCATAACACGTATACTATATATAATAATTCTTAAATGAATTGTAAAAGGGCGTGATCGTATATAGATGGTGAATATCTCCGAGTAATATATGCCTGAATAAATTTTAGTTTTTGTATATTCATTTTCATAAGCATATATGATTTCCAATCATGCAAAAAATTGATCGGCTTCATTAAGTTTGGTTGTGTGATAGTTTATTTATAGTGGTTATTAAAGGCTGGCCATTTTATTAAAGTTCACCACCCATGTTAATATTTGAGATCGAATTCCCCAAAGTAGAGGGATACTATTTTCTACTTCTAATTGATTAACATTTTCATTATTATCTTTTTTGGATTTTCATGAAAATACTATTTCTTGTCTTTCAAATTCAACTAATAAAATTTTCCTGAACAACAGAATTCAAGTTTGAGAGATCACAAGCGAACTCGTAATTAGGGACACAAATGAAATAACTATATATATATATATATATATTTATATATATAACTAAATAGAACAACTTTGATTAAAAGATACCATCTAGCTATATTTTTTCCTTTTGTAATACATAGAAAGGCCAATTCAAATACATACACATAACTCTTAGTTATACATATATACATATACAGATATACGGGTTGGGTTTTAATAGTTACTTACTCAAATATCATTGTTTTAGTTATAAGATACTGATTTGACAGTTATAATAATTGAATAGTTGACGAAAATAATTTATAACAATTATTGAAATTGTATTCTTATAATGTCATATCATTAAACTTTTATATTTAACGGTAACTAAGGATGAAACACGTAAACACTTAAAACTCGTAGATACACATGCGTGTATATGTATTTTGCTCAAGAGACTCCTAATTGTATATATGTGTCTGTGTGAGTGTGTACATGTACAACAAGGGTTAATTATCTCTGTTGATGATACCGAATGCATACATCAAATATTGAGCACGTACGAAAAGTCTTTTTTAAACTACAAAATTAACCTATTTCAAATAATGACATGTGTGATCTCTTCTCCACTCTTCACCTTTACTATTGTCCCAAGCTAACGTACCAAACTTTCAGCTTTTGACCCCAAAAAAGAAACAACCTTTGAGCTAATTAATATGCATTTTTATATTCATATGTGTAGTGATTCATCATTCATAAATTAAACTCGTCTTCGACCTGCATGATCTAATTAAGTTTAAACTCATCTAAAAAAAAAGTATTATCCGCTTTAAAAAAGAAGGTAATTAACTTAAAAATTTGTTCCATGAATCGACTATCATTCTTGTTTCTTATCACTTCCAAAAAAAATTTAGTATCCTATTGTTATTGTTCCTTTCATCGTATCTTGGACTAATCATGTAATCTGTATTTTAGATGTAACTTGTTCATATTTATAGGTAAATTTCGATAGGTCTACATCACGACAAACTCCATCACAAAGTACATGTTAGATATTTTGCTAAGTTAGTATTAGACAATGTTTTAGCTCCAATATCAAAATTCAAATGAGATATTTTTTTCAACTAGTATTACTGCGAGTGCTGGTCCATTATGCTTGCGGCGACAAGCACTATTAATACTAATCTTTGCTTAAGCAGTTTAATTAATAGTACTAGATAAGATTAAATATCACAAGATACTCTCAATTTGGCCATATTTGTACCACAAAATCAATGAGAAAACCACAACAATTAAAAAAAACGTTTTCTATGGTAGAGATAGTAGTTAGCAATAATGTTTTTTTTTTTCTCTAAATGTTAGATCTAATCAAATCATATCAAACTGAAAAAATTATATAAAACTAATAGAACCTGATATATATGAGATTCAACGGTTTAAATTGAACTCTACCGTGTCGGCATTTAAACATAGGCTTGTTATTTTTGTATTTGTTTGTGCCCTATCGCAAAATTTTTTAACAAGTTCATTTATGATGGAGAATGCTATTTTGTTCTACCAATAGGAATTGTATTTTAATCGTTAAATTAATTTTTTAACGATCTGATTTGCAGTAGGAAAAGTTATATGTTGGGGAGCTGTAAACTTGTAATGCGGACATGTGAAGATCTTATAGTTAAAAGAATTAATCTAACAATTAAAAAAAACCACTGCAACAATTAAAAATAATAATAATAACAACGCTTTCT